GTAATAATGGTTGCCTGAGCACTTAAGTGTAAGGAAGGCACTTGGTAGGGCCTGGACATCTGATAATGGATAGATGCAGGACTCAACAGATTTTTGTCAGTAGTCGGTGATCATCAGCTATGTGTCTGAGAGAATGTGGTTTTCTTTTCTCTTGAAGGCCATGTCCAGGGCCCCACAGGTCCTATTGACAATGTTGTGAAAATGAGGACATCATGACAGAGAGACTGATTTAAATGACTTGCTCAGGGCCATGCACTTCTTCACAAGCTGAGTGAGGATTCAGAGCCCCTCTGGCTTCTCTCCTGCACGGAGATGCTGGGGGGACTCATTCAGATTGACTGGATTTCATATTTCATTTCAACTCTCTCATTTCATCGCCTCGACATCCACCTTCTCTGCCTCGTATTTCAGGACCCGGAGTCTGAATTGCTTTACTTCCACTTCAGACACTGTCAAGATAAATTAGACACCAAGGGTCCATGACACCATCTGAAGCAGAACTGCTATTAGCAGAAAATATGTAAGCAGTTTTGTATTTCAATATAGTGTAGCACTGTTTGGGAAGACATATTTTCTACTAAAAATGAAAGTGGGAATAATAAAACTGAATGAGTTTTGAATATTAAAAAGATCAGAATTTGGTTTCACTACATCTGCAACCAAGCATTGCCAAAGGAAGGGAGGCAACAGTAAATATTTTTATCACCTTTCGGTGCATCTACAAAGCATTCTTCTGAATAAGATCTGACAGGCTCCTGACTGTGAGCAGAGATACGGTAACAACTCTGATGATACACACACTTGCATCAGATACAGGCTCCAGTTTGCTGGATTCATCCATCCATAGCCTAGCCTGCTCAGCTGACAAGGCATGTTATTAATATAGCATATCGTACCACGAGTGCATTGCCCTACATGGTGTTTATCTTGTTGGGAACTGTAATTGTCTGAAACAATGGCCTCGGTGAGAAGATGGGAAATGTTATGAGCTGCGTAAAGATCAAAATAATTTGTAGTTGTTGGAGAAGAATTTAAACAGGAGCAGAGAGTTGTGCTACATAGTTAATGCTGCCTGGAGTTAATGATTTGGTCTTGACTTTAATTCTTAGTTCTTTCCTAGTTCCTGTAAGATAACTGAATTCTGGGCCAAGTCTTGTGGAGAAGCAAAGGTCCCCCTCCAGGATGTGAGTTCCATTTTGGTGTCCCCATCAATGTCTCCCTAGCACATGGCATTCTTCTTGGAAGGGAGTGAACATATAATTGCTTATTTAATAAAAAAGTAGAGGGAAAAATATAGGGCTGGGGGTGCAGCCAAGCTATTATCAGAGTTTCCCCTAGATGTAACTGTGGAGAAAAAGAAAAGAACAGGACCCAATTTCCTGAGAATTGGATTAGTAGGAAAGGAGCCAGCAAAATGGAAGCAGCTCTCTCATTGAGAGGCTGAAGACACCACATGGCTCCTACACTGCTGAGCCAAACGAAAACCCCACGTACACCGAAGAGCAAGAGAATGTAGCATGTCCTTGGGCCTGCCTCCTCGCCCTGAAGCATCTGGGTGTATGCTTGTATCTTTCAGTCTGGCTCTTGGAAGACAATACCAGGAACTTTGGTGATCCTCTGATTCTAGTAAATGCAGGAGCAAGTAGAAGAAGGGGTGTTAGAAAATGTAGTGGGGGCAAGCATGAAAGCAAAGTCAGGAAGACAGACAGACAAATGGCCAGATCTGGAAATGGCTTTGGGTTACCTGTCCATTGAGATAGTAAAGAAGGAATCTGAGAGAGGTCAGAACAATTTAGAGGCAATGGAGGAGACAAAATAAATATCCTGAAGTACAGGAAGAAAGGCTATGGGAATCTAAGCCACAATCACTTTGCCTTAGTTTTTTGTTTGTTTGTTTGTTTTTGGTTTTGTTTTCCTGGCAAAATTTGATGCTCTTTGGATTACACCTTTGCATGTGTTTTTGTTGTTGTTGTTGGTTGTTTTTTTTTTTTTTTTTTTTTGAGCAGCCTGATGGATAGATTATTGTTTTGTTTTGTCTTTTTTTGAGACAGGGTTTCTCTGTATACCTCTGGCTCTCCTAGAACTCACTCTGTAGACTGGGTTGGCCTCATACTCAGAGTGCAGGGATTAAAGGCACATGCTACCACACCCAGCACAGGATGAACAGATTATAAGTGGTGTTCCTCTTACAAGTAATCAGTTTAGGATGGTATGTCAAATAATGCTGCACAATAGGACCCAGATCTGTTAGAGGTCTCTAGAAAGAGCTTTCCTCCAGAAAGGGAAGAGAAACACATTCCCTTCACATCTGATGCCAAGTCTCACTGAAGCTGTGGTATAGCAGTGAAGGATTACTGTCATCTGAAGAGGGTACAGCAGAAAGAAGTGCACAGAGGACCTAGATTATGTCTGTGAATTACTCCTAACCAGTCCTGGGCTTCCATAGAACGGCTCAGGAGATGATAAAGTCATTTTTCAAAAGCCACCTCTAGTCAGGACTTTCTTGTTGCAAGCATTTTTGTTGCTAGCTTGATCGTTTCTACTAATGCAGAGGGTAAGAGCATGTGTCAGAAATGTGAACGCTCGGGTTTTAAACCCCTGAAAGAGGGATTTCACTTTCTCTCATATCCTTTAGCTCCTTCCCTACCCTCCTGCATTCAGACAAAAATAAAAGACAAAAGCACTTTTTCATCCTCAGGGTCTTTAGCCCCAGTTCTAGCTCAGTGTAGTGGCTTCCTCTTTCCTGGAACCTATTCTGTCCCAGGAGGTTCCCCACTTAGCCAGTACACGGGTTTCTGGAGCCTTGCCTCATAAGTTCTGTCTTAGTTACAGGTGGTTGTGAGCCACCATGTGGGTGCTGAGAATTGAACTCAGGACCTCTGGAAGAGCAGTCGGTGCTCTTAACCTCTGAGCCATCTCTCTAGCCCAAGTTAGGGTTTCTAATTGCTGTGAAGAGATACCACGACAGTGGCAACTCTTATAAAGGAAAACATTTAATTGGGGTGGCTTACAGTTTCAGCATTTTAATACATTATCATCACGGCAGGACACGATGGAGTGCAGGCAGACATGGTGTTGGAGCTGAAAGTCCTACCACTTGATCAGCCGGCAACAGGAAGTGAACTGAGACACTGGGTGTGGCTTAAGCATATATGAGACCTCAAAGCCTGCCTCCACAGTGACACACTTCCTCCAATAAGGTACACCCCCCTAATTGTGCCACTCCCTTTGGGGCCATTTTCTTTCAAACCACCACAGGTCCCACAGGCATACGTGTCTAAAACCCCAAGCTATAGCTTAGCCTCAACTGGGGAGTTCACTCACAGCACTATTCTGTACCTAGTGGTGCTTTGCAGCTCTGGGGCAGAGCATGTGGAAATGTAGTCAGAGCATGTGGAAATGGCTAAAACATAGGCATGGAAGGGTATGAGAATGCAATTTGTGGAGTTGACTAGATTATAGTTCTCATAAACATCATATAGCACCTAACAGAACTCTGCTTATAGTTTTTCTACATTACACTGAAATGAGATTATAGGCAGATGGACAAGTGGCTTTCTCTCATAGAATTTTCCCTTTAGTGTCTTTCAAAGGTATCACTTTCCCTCCTAAAAACTAAACCTTCAATATTCTCAATTGGTTGAGTTTATTTTTATAACACACTTTGAGACAGGGAGTGGCAGGATAGTTTTATTTAACTTGCCAAGAAGCAAGACACAAAGAGATGATCTGACTTGGCCACCATCCCAGAGGGCATCCATGGCAGAGCCTGGATGGTCCTTTAGTCCCCGGGGCTCTCAGGCTTTTGTTCTGATGTCCCTGTATATAATTGTTTTGATAGCAATTTCTCTGGTTCTCTTTCACTAGCCTGCTCATCACTCATGTCAATCACATTCAAGAAGCATGGGCCTAAGGGTCAGCCACAGTCCCAGGGGAACAGAATCCAAAAGAAGAAAATAAGGCATAATATAGCATTTTCTCCTTCAAGCGTGTATGTCAGTTGTGGCCTCATAAATCTGACAGTGTGTGGCAGGAGGAAGTTGAGGACCTCCGCCCTGGGCTGCAGAAAGAATAGGGTCTATGAAGTGCTCTCTGACCAGAGCTTAAACCAAGTGAGCGAGAACCCTCGAGGGTGATCGATGGGTTCTCCACGCAGTCTCTAAAGAAGCAGGAAGGGAGTCTTCCTTTCCTTCCTCTTCCAAGATTCACCCCTGTAGCCTCCCTGTGCAGTCTCGGGACATCGGGACTGTGGCGGAGCGCACGTGCACACCTCCCCCTCGACCCTTGGCCATCTTGCTCCAGTTCACTTTCACTTTAGAGAGCTGAATCCTAGGGGGGCCCCCCCGAAAGAGCTGCGCCCAGGGGGATTTAAAAAAAAAAAAAAAAGGCCACAAGACTCAGGGCGACCTCTGGGCTGGGACCCCGGACTCGGCGTGCGCGCGTGCGCGGGGCAGCCCCGGGCTAATCTCCTGCCACTCATCCCGGCGGACGCGGGCGTTCCGGCCGCAGCGCCTGGAGCCTCGCGCCGGGGCCCAGCTGGGCCGCGCGCGGAAGGACAAATAGTCCCGTCGGCTGCTCCGCGCGCCCCTCCGCGACCGCGCTCGCCCCGCCCGAGCGGCCGGGGCCTCGGCCTCGGGCGGCGGGAAGTGGGCGGCCGCTCGACCCCTGGCTTCTCCCTCGGGGGCCGGGCGGGTGTGCGCTGCTCCTCGGGGGGGGGCGGAGGGGGGGAAGTAATTGGATTCCCGGCTCCGCGCTGCCGAGAACGGCGGAGAGCCGCAGCTGAGGCTGCAGCGCGTGGGCGGAGGAGGGCGAGGCGGGGGAGGGACGGGGGGGGGGAGACGCCGCCGGCTCTCCCGCGCCCCCGGCGACCTGGCCGGTGCAGGCCGCAGCTGGAAGACGGCCGCCGCGGGGGAGGGCTTAGCGCGCTGGCCCCCGGGACCCCGAGGGCGCCGCCCCGCTCCTCACCCCTTTCCCGTCGCCACCCGGTCTGTGGCGCTCACCTGGCTGACGACACCCGCCCAGGGAAACGTTTGAAAACTCAAGTCTGTCAGCATCCCTCGGGGGTTTCTTCTCCCCAAGCTCTCTGATGTGCAGCTGAGGTGGGAAAAGAACCTTTCAGCCAGTGCGCACGTGGAGATTGCTCCCCAAGTCACAGAGAACACAGGGGGAAAGTACCCCACGGCCTGGCTTGGGTGACAGACGCCCCCTAAGTTCCCTTTCCCCCGAGATTTATCACAAGTGGGAGCCCTAAGCAGGGTTTGTGGTTTTCTTTTTCTCCCCAGCTGAACTGGTAGGAATGTTCTAGAACTTTTAAATGACTAACTCAGTAGCCCTTTTGCGGTATATAGGATTTTTTTTCCCTTTTAATTTCCTTTATTACATCTCACACGTTAGTTCACTATGCTTTTATCGAGGAATTTCTTCTGTACCAGGCTCTATTCTGCTCATCAGGAATATTATCAGTGAATCAGCCAAAACTCTCTGAGCTCTATGGACTTCATAACAGTTGATGAGATACACAATTCAGTGCCGTGTCATGGCAAGTGCTATGGAAAAATGAAACTGCAGAGCAAAGGATGCAGGTAGAGGCGATGTTCAGTGTGTTTTGTGGGAGTTGACTTAGAAAGATCTTTTCCGAAGACGTTGTTTAAAACTGAGGTCTGAGTTAGGAAGCCAAGCAAAACATCCCTGGACAGGTAACTTTACAGATGGAGGGAAGAACAAATCCAAAGGCTCCGAAACCGGAAAAAGTCTAGTGAGCGGTTCAGCAATCAGTGAGGAGGCCGGTGTGAGTTCCACTCAGTGGGCAAGAGCAGTTGGAAACGAGGGTGGAGGTGGGCTGAGAGGTCGCGGCCATATGGACCAAGGGTATTAAGGGCTTCACGTTGTTGCTTTCAGATTTTTAAAACTTTGATGGGGGCGAGTGTTTTGCCTGCAGGTCATGTATAAACCATGTGCATTCCTGGTACATGCAGAGGTCAGAAGAGAGTATTGGAACCCCTGGAACTGGTGCTCCTGATGGCTGAATCACTGTGGGGGTCCCGGGAACTGAACCCAGGTCCTCTGTGTGAAACTTTTGTATAGTTTTCTGTTCCTCCTTTCCAAGCTGTCTCCTCTTGCCCCATCAGACACTAGATGTGTTTGGTTCTGGTGTCCCCCTTTTCTCTCCTGGTCTCTAACAGTAAATGCTAATTTCTGCTTCTTTCCCCACCCTCTGATACTCATTTACAGCCAATGCTTCAACTGGTCTTCATGTGCAGACCCTTTACGTTAGCCTCATCTTTATTCCCGGTTGCTGTAGACTTTATTTATTTGAGATAAGGTCTTATGATATAGCCTTAGCTGGTCTGAAACTCTGGAGACCAGGTTGGCCTTGAACTCACAAAACTCCATCTGCTTCTGCCTCCTGAGTAGTGGGTGTGCGCCTCTACACCTAGCTGCTGTATGCTTTACTCCTACTTCATCACCGTTTCCAACAGGAAATTTCCTGTGATCTCCCTGATGGCACCAGGTCAAAAGCTAACCTTGCTGTCTTTGAAAACCTATGACACACTCCTTCCTCATTACTACCCTCCCCTCTGCGCCGCATGCACTGAAGTGCTTGTCATTGTCCACACGCTATTTCTTCTTATTTATTTTACCTGGCCAGTTATCAGGACCTTTGGTGTCTCGTTTGAAGTACCTCATATCAAATTCCTTCCTCTATCTTTACTTCATGGTTTTTTGCCTAAGACCTTGAACATTGCCAGCCAGGATCGGCTCAGCAGTCTTTTTATGGTCCCTCTGACTTCCTTTTCTCTCTGTGCCCATGCCACTTGCCAGAAGAATTGCTCATTTTTAGCACATCTCTTCATGCCCAGATAGCTTTATGGTTATATGTTCTCTTGCATCAAATTTAAACTCTGGTGACTGACTTTCAAGCTCGTCCTCCAGTCCTGTTTCCTTCTGTCTTTTGACCCACCCCTCCGCCTGCTCCCTCAATTTTGGTTAGATCTGTCCAACAAGTACATTCCTGTTCATGTCTTTCTTTGTATATGTTTATACATCTGCCCTCACATAACTTAGTATTTGACTCATTTGGATCTTATAATGACAAAAATATAACTTAGATTTGCTTAAACAGAAGGGGAATCCTGTTAGATTTTGTTCCTGCGGTGGGATACCGAGACTGGCTTAAGAGCAGGAGTTGTGGAGGTTCAAGTCCTGGGTGCCTGCATCAGCGCTCTCTCTCTCTCTCTCTCTCTCTCTCTCTCTCTCTCTCTCTCTCTCTCTCTCTCTCCTCTCTCTCTCTCTCTCTCTCAGCTGTCAATCCATGGCCATGGCAACAGTGGAAATGTATGCAGAAACAAGTGGTTCCACCTCCATATAGGAGGCCAGAGAGAGGCTGGGTGGGGCCAGGGTCCTGCTTTTACAGGAAACCTTTCCAGAAACCCAACCAAGACCTAAGGAAAAACACTTTCATCTCTTTCAGGCAAGCACACACCCTCTGTTGCCTTAAGAACCTCTCTCTTGGCCTCGCCTAGAAAGTTCCATAGGGCTTCCTGCTACCACCGCTCTGGGGCCGAGCTTTCTGATACACAAACCTAAGTTAGGGAAGGTAACATGCAAACCGCGGCAGGAATTTATTGGCTCGCATCAGTGAAACATTCAAGAGTGTCAGACATGGCTTGCTAAAGAGTTGACATTATGTCACCGAGATTCAGTGTCTGCCTCCTGTATCGGTTCTCTCCTCTGCTCTGAATCTCCACAGATAAGTACCCAGCAGTTGTAGTTGACACCAACCTCACTGACAGCCGGGATGCTTCTTCCTAACTCAGTCACGGTTGCCTAGAGAGCGCCATGCTTAGACTGGTCTAGAGTGATGGACAGACCTCTTCTAGACATGGGAGTCTGTCAGGAGCACACAGATGATACAAGATGATACGACTTGAACTAGCAGCAGTATGGCTCTTGGAGAAAGGCGGGTGGATTTTAGGTAACAAAGAGCAGACATAGTCTATGTAAAGCCCTGTTTTCCTGATGTCTCCTGTATAGGCTTCATAAATAAATGTATCAACAACATTTTCTACCAGCAAAAATATACTCGCTTACTTTAGGTATTAGAGATAACTCTTAAGTGCCCATAGCAGGGCGTTGTGGTTTGAATGTGAAATGTCTCTCCTAGACTCCTATTTTTGAACACCTGGTCCCCAGCTGGCGGCTCCGTGAGGGAAAGTCATGGAATCTTTAGGAAGTGGCTCCTCACTAGAGGTATGGGTCACTGGAAGCTGTATAGGGAGCCCCTCCCCCAACTTCCTGTTCACTTTCTGCTTCTTGAGTCTCGGCGGAATGTGACCAACCTGCCTCTGCCTGTTGCCATGTCGTCCCTGACATGGTGGACTGGATTCCTCTGGAATGGTAAGCCAAAGAAGCCCTTTCCCTCCTCAGTTGCTTTTGTTAAGGTCTTTTGTCACAAAAATAGGGAAGAAAGCTAAGCCACAATAATACACAGTCTTCTCCGTTATACAGCAGCATAAATTCTTCTGTCTGGTCTTCAAGGACACATGATACAGTTACCTACAAAGTAGAAATAAGTCGTAACAAAAAAGAAAGGACATTACAATGAAAACCGCTATTGGAAAAAAATTTATAATGCTAAATACACAGTGGCCTACAAGTCACAGCATCTACCCCATCTTGTTCGACAGTAAAGGAACAATTTCCTAGCATGAGAAGGGAGGAAGTTCTTTGATCATCTGGATGCCGTATGCTCTGTTCCTGGAGGAACTCTCAGCTGCTCTTCCATAGTCAAATCAAATGGGCAATGAGGAAGAGAATCTTCCAGGAGTCACACTTCTTCAGCATCCTCTTTCCTTATACAGTAGGGCCTGAAGAGAAAACAAACAAAACAAAACAAAACAAAACAAAACAAAACCAGCTGGGTGGTGGTGGCACACACCTGTAATCCCTGCACTCAGGAGGCAGAGGCAGGCAGATCTCTGTGAGTTCGAGGCCAGCCTGGAGCAAGTTCCAGGACAGCCAGGGCTGTTACACAGAGGAAACCTTGTCTCCAAAAACAAAACAAAAACAAACAAACAAACAAAAAGCAAAACCAATGCTCACTTTGACAAAAATAACTAGTTTTTACCAAAAACAGTTGTGATCTCCTTCTGTTGTATAGAATTGTTGCTGTTAAGTATCCATCTACCCAGGAACTACATTTCTTAGCCTCAGGTTAAGCTTAGTAGAGTCTTGTGATTATCTCCACTGGAAGTGATGATTGTCACTTTTACCCAGTGCCTTTAAGAATCAGACACACACACATACAGAAAAAAAAAAAAAAAGAATCAGACACAATGAGGAAAGGTGCCTACTGCCAAGACTGAAGACCTGAATTCAGTCCTTGGAACTTAGATTCCTACAAATTGTCCTCTGACCTCCACAAGTGTCACACACACACACACACATACACACACACACACACACACAGCACACACACACACATACACAAATAAATGTGTAACAATAGCTAAGTTAGCCTTTCCTAATCGTTTCCTAGCTTCTGGCTGCAGTGAAAGTAACTTTGAAGAAAATGGTGATTAAGAGCTCTGTTATTAAACTTTTATTTTTATTCTATTTCATGAGTTTTTTGCCTGCATGTGTGTCTGTGTACCACTTGCATGCCTGATGCCTGAGGAGGCCAGAAGAGGAGTCATGGATGGTGGTTAACAGCCATGTGGCTGCTGGGAAACAAACCCTGGTCCTCTGCAAGAGCAGTGAGTGCTCTGAACCTCTGACCATCTCTCCAGCAAGATACTAGACTTTTTTTAAAGTGAGGACTATGTATCTACCACACTTTAGTCCTCAAGCATCAGTAGTTCCCATCATGGTACTTATGTTCGGTGTGAGTAGCCTGCCTTTGCTATCTAGATTTAGTGTACCTCTTACAGTGCAGTTTGGAGTCTTAGGAAGCCTCCAGCGTTTGCATGTGACCAGTTCTGTAAGGGGAAGAACCTAAAGTGGAGTGTGTGCTGTTGTTCAAGCTGCCGTCTTGACTCTAGATGTTATTACTACTTTCGTATTTAGCAATAGACCTTGGTAGTCTCCCCGTTTGCTGGCCTCTAATTTGCTTTCTGCCTGAGGACAGTTTGACTGCATTCTCTTAGGGCTTCTCCAGTCCTTTATGGCCCCAGATTATTGAAATTTCTGTCACTTTTATTTTACTCTGTAAGCAAAAAATAGTCACTCATTACCAAGTGATTTCTCTTCTGCCTTAGGTAAATCAACCTCAATCTTAAATCTAACTCTCTCATAGGGCCTTATTAAAAGCTAGGAAGTAATACCTGATGCCTTCTAGACTCTAACCTTTAAACAACAATTCCTTTTATATTTAATGCTTGGTAGGCACATGTTCTGAATCCCAGAGTACAGTAAGTACTGATTTAACCTATTGCTTTGCTATATTGAAGTCCAAGCTCAGTATAGACGAAGTCTCTTCTGGACCGACCAGTTCAGTAGTTTGAATTTTTCTCTACTAATCCCCACTCTTGATACCAATTGAATCATTAGACATATCTTAATTGCAAGTGACAAAATGAAAGGACACACTACAAACTGGCTGTGGGGGACGAGAAGTGTTGGCAACCGACTCACATAACTAAGAAAAAAAAATCTAGTGATATATTTAACTTAAGGCGTAGTTTGCTTCAAGGGCATAAGCAATGCCATTAGAATTTTATTCCTTTTCCTCTCTTGGCACTGTGCTCTGAGTTGGCTTCCTTCTCAGGCTCCATGTGGTGGCTCCTGGCAGCTCCAGTTCACATAATCCTCACTGTGAGCAATCTCAGTGGAAGAGTACATATCAGTGTGCTGCGTGTGCCAGTGACAGTCTTCTTCCACTCGCCGGCTCTGATTAGGACACATGGAACAACCCAGTGATTCGGAGCTGATTTGCATGGCTACTTTCATTAAGCGAGGATTCAACACCACCTAAAAGACACTGAGAGAAAAATCAGACCATGATTCTCAGGAAAAGGATGAATAAATACTGAGTGGCAAAACAAAAACAAACAAACAGAAAAACCGCCTCGTCTCGTTAGATAGTGATGTCTGTTTCCCAATGTGTTGGTTTTCCCTCCTTCGCCGGACTGTCAGTGTCCCAGGAGCAGGCTCTCACACTGTTCTGTGTCTTAATAATAGTGCCAACCCAGGAGGCAGACCTTGGAGACTAGCTGACTGCTGTTTCTCCTTATATTACTAGAGAGGGCACAGTAAAAGAGGATAAAGGTAGCCTAAGAAAGGAACAGTTTCCAGAGGTATGGGAAGGGCTGAAGGAATCCACAAGGAATGGTAAAGCTCTTAATGACTGGCAGCCTGGGAGGCATAAAGCCTAAAGGAATGGGGAAGAGAGCTTGAAGTGGAATCCAGGAGAAGCTGTAGCTGGGAAGGAGATGTCTGACAAGAGCTGTGACTGTAACTAGAGAAATGTAGCCAACTGCCAAATGTGGTCCAGCAAAGGACTGGGGAGAAAACACTTGTCTTTTCCCTCTGTCTTCTAAACTTCTACTGGAACCTCCCATGAGCTAAACCCAATCAGAAACCAGAGGGCTTTAGCAATAGACTCTGCAGAACCCAGCTTCCCGCAGGCAGCAGGGCAAGTGGGATGTAAAGTGGCCTGGAAGAGTGAACAGGAAATGAGCAGTGCATCTGTCTTGTCCTACAGAGCAACTCCAAGTCGGAGGACTCCCTGTTCTCTGCCGATGATATAGAATGGATATATCAGGGAACACAGTTTGATCCTTTTCAACAAGCTAGTTAAACCCGTACCTCACGTGGTTTAATGTTATTAACATTCTAGGATTTTAACCTTCATGGATTCATACACAGGAAGAAGTCTTTCGTGAGGCAGTGTGGTTAAAATGCTATCACTGCTGCGCTGATAGGAAACTCCTCGAGAATATTATACCTGGCGATCCATCAGGCAGCATAGCTCAGCACCTGTCAGGGAGTGACAATCTTGATAAATGTTTGCTTTAAAAACGATTGAATGAATAAATTAAAATATTTGATGCCAGAAGATTGTAAAGAAAAAGCTAGCCGCATTTTCCTTGTTGGAGCTCTGATGCTCGAGAACGCTACAGTATCTCCCGTCCTGTCTCCTGAAGTGTGACTCTAGCGTCTTAGTTGTAACGGAGGTTTGATCTCTTACAGGAGATGGAACGGCAATAAACTGTCCATCTTCAGCAGTAACATGTTCCATAATGAATTGTCATGCTAATAAATCCATGAAGTCCATTTCAGTTAATACTCCATTATGTTTTTAGTCTGAGAGTAGGTTTTCCTCGTGACTGTGCCCTTCAAGTTTAAAAAAATAAATACACTTGCCTCATTATATAAGCTGGTATTATGAAGTGCCAGTCCAAACTTATTGTTTTTAAGGGATTCAAGTTATAGTCAAGCCAAAAATGCATATTCTTGTTCTTTGGCAATCTTGTATATATATGCTCCTGCTTTCATGTGTATCAGCATTCATGTATTCATTCAACAAACATGGTAATGTTGGTACCATGTGCCACACATAGCCCATGCCCTTATGGGGCTTATGTCTAATGCAATATTTTCGGAGTTAAATGAGACCCTGAATTAATTGTCTAAAGATCTGTAAGAATAAAGATTCTGATTCACAGAATCTGGGATGGTCAACTAGAGTACATTTCTAACCACATCCTGAGTGAAGACCATGTTGATCTATGGACCACACCTGCAGAGCAAGGGTGGATTTATCGATCCTCACAACAGTAACCTCATCAACACTGGATTTTTGTGGTTGCTGTCTGATTCTGTTTTCATATACCTACTGTGCAAAATACTGTGCTACACATTACAGAAAATTTGGGAAAGTCACTACACAACAGAAAAAAAGCTAGTTTGGCACATAATTATGGTTATATGAATCTATTTAAATAAAATATTCAGAAAAGGCAAAACTGCCATGACAAAATTAGATGGTTGGTTGCCTGGGCTAGAGAGGGATACAGGGATTAACTGTAAATGGCTAAGAGAGGTCTTATTGAACTGATAATATATATATTTTTCACTATATATATATTTTTTTTTCACTATATATATATATGGTTTTTCCAGACAGGGTTTCTCTGTGTAGCTTTTCACCTTTCCTGGAACTGACGCTGTAGCCCAGGCTGACCTCGAACTCACAGTGATTTGCCTGCCTCTGCCTCCTGCGTACTGGGATTAAAGGCATGTGCCACCACCGCCTGGCTTGATAATTTTTTAAAACAAGACTACTATAATGGCTGCACAGCTTGATAGACACACTAAAATTGATTGGAATGAATAAAAGTTGTAAGTAAACACCTCAGTAAAACTCCAATAGTTTTGATACAGTGTGAACAAATGCAATAGAAACATGTAGTCTTGGCCCCTATTGACAGGGAACTGGAACTGATAAAAGCTGATTTACTCAGTCGTGTAAGTAGTTAGTGACAGCATATTAATCTGTCCTATAGAGACAGAAGTCTTAGTCAGAAACCTAGCTGCTAAAGAGAGGTACGTCAGCAAATTGATCCCCTTTCACCAAGATATTTCCCTTCTCTCAGAATTGCCACTCTCCCAGAGACAGAGCTCATCCTAAGTTTTGACCTGTGACCCCAACTGCCAGATGGGTCACAAGTTGGGTGGCTTCTTGCAGATCCTTTGGCTTCATCAGAGTTCTTAGTTTCAAGCAACAACAACAACAACAACAACAACAACAACAACAACAACAAAAACAAACAGTCCTATCTAGTTTAGAAGCTAAGGAATTGGGCAACTCACACAATCCTGAAGATTGAGAATCAAGCTCAAAGCTCGACAGCTAAGAACAATGCCCATAAGCCATGAACCGAAGGAACCCAATTAGAGGGTAGTTGAACGTGCTAGATTCTGCCTTTTTTTTTTTTTTAATATTTTTAAATGTGTAGTCCAGGCTGGCCTCGAACTCATGATCCTCCTGCCTCTGCCTCCTTCAGCAAATCCTACCGGCGCGCGCCGCCACCACCACCGGCAGATTCTGCCTTTTTTTTTTTTTTTTTTTTAAAGATTTATTTATTTATTTATTATGTATACAGCATGTATGACTGCAGGCCAGAAGAGGGCACCAAATCTTATTACAGATGGTTGCGAGCCACCATGTGGTTGCTGGGAATTGAACTCAGGACCTCTGGAAGAGCAGTCAGTGCTCTTAACCTCTGAGCCATCTCTCCAGCCCCCAGATTCTGCCTTTTAATCCAGCATGATTTGAGGAACTCAATCTGGGCATAAGTGCATTGTTGCAAGAGAGAAGGCTGGCTGGCTTTTTCCTTTGTGTTCCTAGTTCCTGCCGAGGCCAAGCAGGTGCTCCTGACTAGGGAAAGGTAGACTGTTTACCTAAGTCTAGGCTGCAAGGAAGGATGGTGCAGGGATTAAATATACAACTTCTACCATTGTTTTTCAAGGCCCACATGTCCAATGAATTCTCCAAGCTCAAAGAATTCAGGTGCCGGACAACAAAACAAACCAACAAATAAAATCCCCCCACCTCCTAAGCTGGTATGTATTATAGCCATTCATAACTTGCGGTCCATGGACCCGTCCCAGAAAATTACCTGGAAGCTTGTTAGAAATGGAGGGTCTGGGCTGGGGAGATAGTGCAGTGGGTCAAACGCTTGCTTTGTAAGCATGAAGACCTGTGTTGGTTCCCCAGCACCTCCATAGAAAAGAAGTCAGGCATAATGGCACAGGCATGTAATCACAGCACTGGCCAGGCAGAGACAGGTAGATCCCTGGGACTCTTTGGCTAGATCAGGCCAGTGAGAGACCCTGTCTCAAGTAATAATAATAATGATGTAAAATAAAATAAAAACCTAAACCCCCAAAACAAAGAAAAAAACAAGACAAGACAAAAAGTCCAAGGGAATGGCATCTCAGGATCGATGCCTAAGGTAGACCCATGGCCTCCACCTGCACTTGTGTGTGTGTGTGTGTGTGTGTGTGTGTGTGTGTGTGTGTGTGTGTGTGTTTATACACACAGAAGAAAGGGCAGAATCTGGGAGGTCTGTTCCAGAGCTTCAGGAGTAGGACCTGCCAGCTAATAAATACCCAAATGCCTTACGAAGTTTGAGAAATATTCTGTTATGGAACATGCAGTTTTTTTTTTAACTCTCAAAAATCAGTTACCATTGTGTCCTACTCATCCACAGAACGTGTTTAATGCAGGAAACGCAGTTAAATTTGAGATAAACAACAAATAATTTAAAAAATTAGAATGTTCCTTGGAAGCTGGGCATACTGGTACATGCCTTTAATCCTAGCACTTGGGAGGCAGCACTGGGTGGACCTCTGGGAGTTCAAGACCAGCCTAAGCTTATAGTGAGTTCTAGGCCAGCCAGAGCTACCTAGTGAGACTGTCTCAAAATGAAAGAAAGGAAGAAAGAAAGAAAGGAAGGAAGGAAGGAAGGAAGGAAGGAAGGAAGAAAAAAAAAGAAAGAAAGAAGTTAAAATAAAATAAAAGGAAGAGAATGTTCCTTGGAGTATTGGGGGGCATTCTTATACTAAAATTTGTTCTCTTTCTGAAACTGAAAATTAAATCAGCATCCTGTATTTTATCTGACAGCTGTATTCACTCACCAAACCTTTTCCCCGTAGTTAACACAAACGAGTAAAAAGAAAGGGATGTTAATTGGCCACAAGAATGTGTTGGTATCAGTGTTCTGTTTTGACCTAGGAGACCCTAAGTTTCATGAAAGCTGAACATGGAATTGGCAGTTTCAAGCCCACTTGGAATTCTGCTCAAGCATTTCGTGCTTGTGACTCCTTTTCATTGGAAGGGTGAATGCAGAGTGAGGCGTGCTGTGCGTGGCCAGAGGACGACCTTCTGGTTTGTCTTTAGGTGCTGTCCTCCGTTTTGCTGCTGTTGTTTTGAGCCAGCGTCTCTCGGCCTGACACTCACCGAGGACGCTAACACGCCTGGCCAGCAAGCTCCAGGGATCTGTCTCCACCTTCCCAGTGTTGAGGATCACCACCTTCTTTACATGTGTTCTGGGGATCTGATTCAGGGTCTCAGGCTTGCACGGCAAGCACTTTTCATGGACTGAGCTACCGCTAGCCCAGGGTTTTTAAAATACACCTAGTAAAAACAGAATGATGCGGAGAAGAGTAGCGTGGGCCCTGCACATAAAAGACATGCAAGTTCATGAAGTAGTCCGTATTTTTTGTAGGTACCACCTTCTCTCCCTGTTTTATCAGGGACAGTAGGGCCATTACTTGTTCCAGTCTGAGGCTCCCTTTCTGGCTTTCTTTTGGCAGTTACTTTTTTTTTTTTTTTTTTAAAGAAATCCTTTTCTGGAAAATAATAAAATACACCCATGAATTGCAAGTACTTTAACTTAAAGAGTTTTGATCAATAACATGTTTATTTTACAGAATTAGACTATAAACTAGTAAGGAAAGGAAATGATGGTAGTCATTTCTGGCTTAAGTCTTGAGACTATTAGAATTTCATCTTCTTCCTAAAGAAAGGAGTTGCTTGGGGGCTAAAGAGAAGTTGGCTCAGTGGTTAAGAGTGGTTAAGACTGCTCTTCCAGAGGACCCGAGTTCGATTCCCAGCACCCACATGGCAGTTCACAGTGAGTAACTCCAGCTCCAGGAATCTGATACTCTCTTCTGGCTTCCAAGAACACTGCATGCACTTGCATGGGCATATGTCCAGACAACCTATGCACACAGAAGAAAAATAAATCTTAAAAACATGTTGTTACCTATGCCCAAGTGTTTTAGAAAAAAGTGGTTTGCAATTCTCTGGGAAAGAGACAGATAGTGCTTTATATCAATCAGATTAAAAAAAAATACTACGTGGCGCACGCCTTTAATCCCAGCACTCGGGAGGCAGAGCCAGGCGGATCTCTGTGAGTTCGAGGCCAGCCTGGTCTCCAAAGCGAGTTCCAGGAAAGGCGCAAAGCTACACAGAGAAACCCTGTCTCGAAAAACCAAAAAAAAAAAAAAAAAAAAAAAATACTACACCCCAGGGGGCTGGAGAGATGACCCAGTGGTTAAAAACATTTGCTGTTCTTGCAGAGGACCCAGGTTTGGTTCCCAGAACCCACCTTGGGTGCCTCGCAAAGGCCTGTAACAACTCTAGCTCTACAGGATCTGATGCTTCTGGTCTCTGCAGGCACCGGCACTCACATGCACGTACCGTCATGTGACACATACACATAATTAAGAAATAAGTTACATAAAAGGAACATCACATTAAGAAATTATAGAAAACTGCTATAAAACATATACTGATTGCATCTATTTAGAAGGTAGTTTAATTTGCTTTAATGTTTAACCATCTAATTCAACCAGGCAAATAGGACATTTGGGGTAGTTTTGGGAGTGACTTTCATTTCTTAACTCTTTGTGTAGTTATAAGCGTCACTTGCCATACACTTCAGCATCCTCTCACCAAGCCTTATCGTATTCTCTTGGCTGATGATGACACATCCAGGGATTACAGTCACAAGAAATAGAATATCCTTAGGGACTGGTAAACGTTAGTGACTAAACATACGCACCTTCCCTCCTCCCTAGCCTCCAGAGGTTTTATACCATGCTCATTGCCACTGTTTAGTGCGTTATTTGCAAGTACCATCCTAGATAGGTGAAGGATGTATTTGCTCTTGCAGAGACTGGAAATCAATTTCCAGCACCCATGTCAAGCAGTCCAAAATCACCTGTAATTCTAACTCCAGGGGAATCTGATGCCTCTGGCCTCCACAAGCACCTTCACACTCACACACACGTTTCCATACACACACATAATTTTAAAAAAATCTTCCATGTACAAATATGTGTATAATTTCATTGTGAATTTTTAAAAAAAAATTTATTTATTTATTATGTATACAGAAGAGGGTGCCAGATCTCATTACAGATGGTTGTGGGCCACCATGTGGGTGCTGGGAATTGAACTCAGGACCTCTGGAAGAGCAGTCGGTGCTCTTAACCTCTAAGCCATCTCTCCAGCCCTTCATTGTGAATTTTACTAATTCTGTTTTTTTTTTTTTTTTTGGTTTTTTCGAGACAGGGTTTCTCTGTGTAGCTTTGCGCCTTTTCCTGGAACTCACTTGGTAGCCCAGGCTGGCCTCGAACTTACAGAGATCCGCCTGGCTCTGCCTCCCGAGTGCTGGGATTAAAGGCGTGCGCCACCACCGCCCGGCTGAATTTTACTAATTCTTGATCTTCATCCAATTCAGCAATGTCCGTGTGTGTTTTTCATCGGCGTTGATCATTCTGTTTCCTATTATTTATTTATTTGTTTATTTATTTATTTATTCGTGTTATAAGGATTTGATCTAGGGCCTTGTGCATGCTAGCCAGTGCTTTTTCTCTAAGCTATAACCCCCATCATCTGATGTTTTAAAAATATTTTTCTATTTTAAGGTTTGTTTTATTTTATTTTCATTTGTGTGTGTGTGTGTGTGTTCTGAATTTGTGGATGTGCATATGGATGCCTGAAGAGAGCATTTGATCCCTTGGAGCTGGAGTTACAGGCAGCTGTGAGGCTCTCCATGTGGGTGCTGAGAGCTGAACTCTGCTCCTCTGTAAGAGCAGCAAGTGTTCTTAACTGCTGAGCCATTTCTCTAGCCCCTAAAACAATTCTTAGTAGCATGTTTCTCATTTTGCTTTTGTTTCTTGGATAGCTGAATATGCATATTAGCCATTTGAAGTCTTTTTCATGAATATTCTGTTATGTGCTTTGTCATTTGCACAGTCTGTCCACTGTGTGTAAATTTTTGTATCTGTTTAATTAAGAGAATAACCAAAAATCGTGGACCCATTTAGACACATTGAGTGAGTCAGTTTTGAGAAGATTGCGCTGTAGTGCAGACAACTAGCTCTCACTTGAGCATAAGTCCTCTTCCCCACCCCCGGGGTCTCAGGTCTTACCTATTAGCTCATGCTAATTAGCCCAGTGTTTCAAACAGTTCTCTTTCTCTGTGTCTACCTCTCTATAAATCAGTTCAGTTCTACAGATGGAGCTAAAAGCAACACAGTTGATATTATTGATGGGCCATCAACATTCTTGTGCTCTGTCCTTCTGGCACCAGTACTCTTTGAGATGGTCAGGGACAGAAGACTGATGTGTGGTGAAGAGACCCTTGTTTCTCTGAGAGAAGCTAACAGATCCTGTGGGGATATGCGTATGATTTTGATTTCTCATTAGCATTGTGAGCTCCAATGAAGTGTGACTGACAGTTACATAAGTCAATACAGAGCACTTGGGGAGAGCCAAGTTTCAGTTTTTTTTTTTTTCCTTATGGATTGGGGCTTCTGTTCTTTCAGAACTCACTGGGAAAACAAATCAGAGCTGTTTTGATTCAAGAAATGAATGCAATGAAGCTACATTTCTAGGAAAACTATCGTGGCGAAAAGGGAAATAAAATGCTAAACTTATTGATCAAGTAAAACATACCAGGAGGAGATGAAAGCACATCCTAGACACTAGCCAGTGCTTCCATTTTCACTTCATCTGTGGTTCACGTTTTAGGTAAAGACTAAAGGCGACTTTACGGGTTTGCAGAGCAAAGAACATTTAGTACCACGAAGCATTCTTCGTGAAGTGTTGGGAAGTATGGACCCCAGCAGACAAACAGAAGGAAGAGGAAGAGAGTAGCCAAAGATCCGACAAGCCATAAGTCAGTTCCCTCCACTATTACCTGACTTTCATTCCCAACTTCAGAGGAAGTCGGTGTCTGTTAACAGGAAAGACATCAGCGGGCTGGAGAGAGGGGGCAGTCAGTGTTTGCCAAACAGCATGAGAGCTTCAGCTGGACCCCAGCATGCACATAAAAAGCCAGGTGTGGTGGTGTGTGTCTGCTATCCCAGCACTGTGGAGGTGGAGACAGGCAGATTTCTGGGGTTCACTGGCTGGCCAGCTGAGGTGCATCAGTGAACCCCAGATTCAGGTGAGAGACGCTGTCCCAGAGGAGATGCATGGTATGTAAGGAACAACAGCCAAGGTTGATCTCTGGCCTCCACGTATGCATGCACAAACATGCCTGTGCACCCACATGGATGTGCACATACACCCACAAAATAATAATAACAAAATAAAACCTGACCTTTGTTCTAAAAAGAGATGTAAAATTTTCTATAGTGTTCTTTTATCATACTCCTGAATATAGTTCAAAGGCTTAAGGTGATACATTGAAAGATTAGAAACAATAAAATAATCCTGTAGGCTTATAATGCAGATAAAACTGGAAAAATTATAGTAAATGGATTTGGAGAAGCATGTGCCAATCACCAAAATTTCACGTATAATCGCATGAACATGCTGGTGTGGTGAAATGGGAAATCCAATGAAGAGTTCCAAGATGGAACATTGCTGAGGAATGTGAGGACACTTGTTTCTTCACTTCTCTAAAAAGAAAGCATGGATTATTACAAGAGTTCTCAACCTGTGGGTCGCGACCCCCTCAGTGTAGCATATCGGATATTATTTACATTACAACTCATAACGGTGGTAAAATTTACAGTTATGAAGTAGCAACAAGATAATCTTGTGGTTGGAGTCACCACACTTGAGGAATTAAAGGGTCACAGCATTAGGAAGGTTGCGAACCAATGGATTATTAAGTGCAATTTAAAACATTAAGTCAATCAAACCAGTTCAAATGGCCCAGGGAACCGAACTTCAAGAGAGAGTAACCTGCATTGAAAATACAATTCTTATCTAATTAGTAAAAAATACTAAGGGGCTGTTAACATTGGAAAGGATTTTTTTTTTTTAATTTGCATGTTTTGAGACAGTCTCATGATGCAGCCCTGGCTGTCCTAGAACTTCCTGTGTAGACCAGACCAGGCTCCTTTTAAACATACATACACATATAAATGCTGATGCCTGAGGAGGCTAGAGGTGTGGGATCCCCTGGGAGCTGGAGTTACAGGCAGTCTGAGCCAACCCATAAGGGTGCTGGCAAGCAGCAAACGCAGGTCCTTTGCAAGAGCAGTATTGACTCATAACTGCTGAACCTTCTTTCCAAGGCCCCAAGATATGTTATTAATATAAAAGGAAATCAGAGCCTTCACCCTTGAAGACTTCTTAGCTGAGGGAGATGTATATACACATTGAGAGTGCTGACTATGTATTTCGATAGCGAATGTTAAACAGAAAATTGACTTTAATGGACTGATTGTATGCAAAATAGCAATGACTTGTGATA